GGAAGGGATGAGGGTGGATAGTAATTAAGGAATAAAGTGTGTGGGTTTACCTCCCTTATCCACACTATTGGGTTATTGTAGAAGCGGGACCTCTGAAGTTAAGGTCCGTCTCCGATAAGACCAATCCAAACTGTCGAAGAGCCTTGAAAACTGCACAAAATGAGTTCAAGAAGGCCTTAATTGTAATGGATTTAAACCAAAGCCATCAGCTCCGTTGTCCAGCATCATATCCACTGAGGTGACGGTGCGCTCTGTCAGTAAGGAGAAGTGGTAACTAGTAAGTAGAACAGCCTCGAGAAGACAATAGCCCCCCCCCCTTGTACTGTACCGCTGGTCATCGCTCCGGACAGCGGTCATTTGTCTGCCCGGCCCCGGAATGTTCCCTGTGTCAGGTCACGTGACACAGACATTGTCCACAACGACTCGGACCTGGCTCCGCCACTCTCTGCGCCGACACAGAACTGGCACACATGACACACGACACACAAGACACACGACACACAAGACACACGACACAGAACTGGGCAGACGATACACAACACAGGACACACGGCACACAGGACACACACGAGACACAGAACACACGACACACACGACACATGACACACAGGACACACGACACACATGACACACACGAGACACAGAACACACGACACACATGACACACACGAGACACAGAACACACGACACACACAGGACACACGAGACACAGGACACACGAGACACAGGACACAGGAGAAACGACACACAGGACACACAGGACACACAGGACACAGGACACACACGACACGTGGCACAGACATTGTCCACAACGACTCGGACCTCGCCCCGACACTCTCTGCTCCGACGCAGAACTGGCACACATGACACACGGCACACAGGACACACGACATAGAACTGGGCAGACGATACACGACACAGGACACACGACACACACGACACACAGGACACACGACACACGACACTCACGACACACGACACAGAACCGGACACACGCCAGTGATCACTCTGTCCCTGTTTCCATCTCTGTTGCAGCTCTCTTTCTCTCTCTCTCTCTCTCTCTCTCTCT